CCGTCCCGCTTACCTCATGATTGCTGCGGGTGGTGCAAAACAAAGGAGCTAAGGTACTGAGGGCGGCCAGAGAAGTACGGAGCAAGCAGAAGGCTTTGTACCCTGTCTGCAGGCGGGGTTTTACCAAGCGGGGTGGAGAGAGAGCATCCTCAAGCAGTTGTCATCATATGAGCTGTATGTTTGGCATGTAAATTAATAGATTTGCAACATTAATCTCCATTTACCAGTATTGTATTTGCCTTCTACTCTAAAAAATGTTATTTCTCTTGTCATTAGCACTGTTAAATGACGTTTTTCTGTATAGTCACTGCTTGTTTTGCCTGATGCAAGCTAATGTCGATAGACTCTTGCTAGGAGAGCAACTTTCAAGTAGTGCCTGAACAGTTAACACAGGACTCATGAGCACGAGAGCAGCACCCCTATAGCATGTTTCTTTCACTTGTATTTAGGAGTGTACCCATGAGAAAGTGTGAGTGTAAGGAAACTCTGCACAAAATAAAATCGACTAAATGAAGTCTTCATGCTATGATAGTTTATTCATCTTCTCCTTTAAATAATAGTTTTTGAATTCATTAGCCATAATTCTTCCAGTGTTCTTTAACAGTTTTAATTCCCTAACTATCCTGTGTCCTTCATGATGCAAAATACATACATTGCAGCATACTGGAAGTGACGCTCCATGCACTAACAACCATCTCACAGTAATCTCACAGTAAGCAGGTCCTTTGGGGTATACAAAGATACCTTGGGAGAAGCGCAGGGCTAGGCTGATCAAATTGAAACTCCTTTAATCTCTTTTGTTAGAATATGTATCTTTTGTTACAATTACTTTTATTTTGTATGACTGTCTTGAGACACATCTTTTTAATCCAAAAAATTCCATTAACATCTTTTTCTGGTTAAAAGTGAGTGTGTTTATCTTCATTGTTTTCAAGCTTACTGTATGGGTTACCTTACTGTAACCAGAAAATGCCATGAATTTGGAGCAAACACATCTGTTATGACTGAGAACTCCATTATATGAACAGATTAGAAGTTCTGAAACCTGTAGCAAAGGAGAATGACAGGAATAGTGTGAAAGGAGGCAGACTGACAGGAATTTAAATTTAAAAAGATTGCCACCTCCAGATACCGGTATCTTCAATTCTGTACTGAAGTCATGTCTGGTAAATAAGAGAAGTGTGATACTGGAAAGAAAAATAAAATAAAGCAAATAGAATAGTGGTAATTAAGGGATTAGTTCTGTTTGATGAAAGAAATAATCAAATGTACTCTATTCCACCAACAAGGCTCATTTTTGAGATTGAGGAAACTAATGACAAATTCTTCGGAGCACAGGCCAATATCTTAAATCTTCAAAAGTTCTTTGGAGGATAAACCCCTTTGGGATATTCAACCCAACTTTGTCAGTGTCATCGTGCATAGAGCAGCAGTTATCCTACCTGGTACATAAAAGATCCTGCTTTATTTAGAAAAATAAAGTATCATATGTCTTTCCTTGTCTTCTCTCAGTACTGTTTTTATCCTTACTCTCCCCTTCTCCTTTCCACTTAGTGTTGAGACTGGTCCCCACTGCACTTATCCCACAAAGAGATTATTATGGCTTCTTAGTTGCATTATCTGTGAGTGAATGGTAGTAAAAACAGATGTGACCTGTCTAGTTATGTGATATTCTAGATCAGAGATTCGGGTCAGGAGTCAAAGCAACTAGGATGTTTGTACTGTCTGATTAGCTGTATCCAGGAAATGTTACCAAAAGTTGTGTTGTCCTCACCTTTTAAAGTCCAGTCTCTTTTTCTTTTTCCCTTGTCTTTATTGTTACAAGTGTGAAACTGTCATTCTCACAGCAATTATTTCAAGATTTAACTTGTGCTTTTAACTAAGAAAGATATAGGGTGTTTTTTTTTTTTTTTTTTTGCTAGCCACTTGATTTCTGTTTTAAAATGTTTTATGTTAGTTTTATGTCTCTAAATAGAAGATTTTTAAGCTCTGCCTACTCTGAAACCTCTGTTAACTTCACGGTAAAGGTTTTTGCTCATGTTCAGATGGAACTTCTTGTGTTTCGATTTTTGCCTGTTGCCTCTTGTCCTGGCCACCACTGATAGGACATCAGACAAGAGGCACAAACTGGAACACAGGAAGGTCCGCCTGAACATGAGGAAAAGCTTCTCGACTGTGAGGGTGACCGAGCGCTGGAACAGGCTGCCCAGAGAGGGCATGGAGCCTCCTTCCCTGGAGATACTCAAAATCCGCCTGGACACGATCTGTGGAAACGTGCTCCAGGTGACCCTGCTCAAGCATCCAGAGATCCCTTCCAACCTCAGTGACCGTGTGACCATGACCTCTGTGACCATGTGAAACTCAGCAGCCTCGTCCTTTTCTTGCCCTCATGAACTTGGTGTAGTTACTTAATGTTGTACGCTCTCAGGATCCCATTAATTCCCTTCGTTTTCTAGTCCCATTTAGCCAATCCAGATAACAGTGCAGTTCCAAAATATTGATCAAAAGATCTTTGATCATTATTTTTATAGTCTCATCTTCAAGTAAGGAAAAAAAAAAAAGAAAACAAAATAAAAAGCTTGGAATAGAAAACCAAAAAAGGAAAACACCTTTTTCTCATGAGATTTCTGTCTGAATTATGCAGACATAAATGCGTGAAGAAGATGCGAAACTCTCAGGACCTGCCAGTCTTTGAGATTTGCTTTTCATTAACCCGAATTGCTGTAGCGGTAGGAAATACCCCAATCATCACGTTCTTAGCTGGGGTATGTGAGCATGGAAGTAGGTAAGCAGCTCTGTACTGATTTATCCGTGTGAGCTGAGGCCTTGGCAGTATCGCGTGAGGAGATTTTTCACCAGTCGGTCTAGTCACTAGAAGAAAGACTAGGAATAGATCTGTTATTGAATTTGCTTTACTCTGACGTCTGGTCACCAGTTGGCAAATATTCTCCATTGCTGATCAATGCTGTGTCAGGTGGTGGCAATTAATTTAAAAAAGAAGAAGAAGAAGAGAAGACAGAGGATTCAAAGGGGGAAAAAACACACCCTGCTTTGTAGATGTTAGAGAAAACAAGCAATTTCTTAACACCTTTTCTTCAAGGAGTTAGGATGAATAACAACTTTGAACAAATATTTTCAGCATGCAGGGATTTTATTAAAAAAAATCAAAAGATGAAATCCTGTGTAAATTGTTTAGAACATTGCAAGAGAAGACACGTTGATTAATAAACATAAAAGAGGGAAGATGCATATTAATTTGTTTACGTATAAGAGGCTTCTAGCTCATTAAAAGTCCTCTAAGCATTTAACTAGTGAAGCAGTGGATAAAATCAGACATTGTCTTTAATCTTGTCAAAGGATCCTATATTAAAAAAAAAAAAAGGGTTATTACAAATGTGTATAATAGCTCCACTAATGACAGTGCTTGGAAAATGTGGGGCACACGGCAGCTCAGGGATGTGCCGCGTTGTGCTGGGGACCTGGGTTCACCTTTCCCAGCTTGCTCGCTGAGGCCGGGAGGGATGGAGGGCGTTCAGCTCCCCCCGGCAGCAATCTTTGGCCACTTGAGTTGAGCAAGATGTCGTGTTTATAGATCGCTCTGTGTGCCGGGGGAGGGTTTGTTACATGTGCACGAGGGCTCGGTGTGAGCTGGGAGGTCTCAGGAAAGCTCTGCTGCAGCAGAGACACCGACTGGGGTGGGTTTTTCCGTGTTTTGTTGGATTCACTGCCAACCCATTAGGACAGAGTGGGGGGCTAGACTGTTTCAGGTGTCATAAGCAGCAAGGTGCTAACAGCAAGTGTTTGTGGGGAAAAAATAAAAACAACACGACTATGGACTGCTTTAAAGAAATTGGATTATTAACTTAATTTCCTGGCAAAACAACCGTTGATTAATCGTGTTCATTTACTAAGCTGAAAGTAAATCAGAAGCAGCTGAAGAAGAATGTATTTTTTTTCTCTAAATAAACAGACCTGGGACCCATATGTGAACCCATATATGTGAAACTACTCATCCAAAATTACTTTATATTTTTAGTGATGTCTTTTGCTTGAATAAGATTTTTATTTTTCTAAAACTGTTAATTTTTAAACATAATTGGACATAGCTTTTCTTTGCAAATAGTTGTTAGTGAGCTTTAATTAAAGTATGTTGTTTATACAGTTTGATCATAGTGACAAAACTTTCTGTTTTTTTTTTTTTTTTAAATCAAAGATATTGCTTCTCTCTTTTTCTTGATTTCTTTTTCTTTTCTGATTTTTCATTAGGCTGTACTTTTACTATCATTTGCACCTTGGGAGATAAAGGAATAAACTTCTGGTTTTTACTTACATGTTGCATTTACAGAATCGTGTAGTTTCTTACTGCCAACGTTACTACTTCTGTTTTAATTTTGATAAGCATAAATGTGATCCCAGAACTATGGTGGTACTTTTACAGATCCAATGCGTGGACCACGGAAACTAGAGGTCGTGGAGATCAAGTCTAGGCAAATCACCATTTGCTGGGAGCCGTTTGGCTATAACGTGACACGTTGCCACCGGTACAACCTCACAGTGCATTACCGGTACCAGGCTGGAGGACAAGAGCAAGTGAGGGAAGAAGTGAGCTGGGACACAGAGAGTTCCCATCCCCAGCACACCATTACCAACTTGTCGCCCTGCACGAACGTCAGCGTGAAACTCGTGCTCATGAATCCCGAAGGGCGGAAGGAAAGCCAAGAACTCGTAGTGCAGACGGATGAAGATGGTGAGTTTTTGTATTTGCCTTTTTAAGAAAACACGTGCAAACCAGTTCATATACAGGCTGAGATCTTGAAACCAACTACGCAAATTGTATACAATTGTATACAATTATAATGCATTATTATTATGTATTTTTTAATATTTCATTAATTGTAAATGCATAATACCTGTGGCCAACAAGACAGCCTCTTTCTCTATAAGTTTCTGTTGTGCTTTCATTAAAATTTTTAGCAGATTTCCCATCATCTTCAACAATTTCAAGTCAGTAAAGTCAGGTTTTATAAGCATTATGATCTTTCACATAAGCTGTGCCATCAAACATCATCCAATCATTTCTTCATTAAGCCCATAAATTCTGTTTGAGTCATATTTTGCCCCTAAAAGGTCCAGTATCAGTTTGAAGACAATTGAAGTAATTGCCCACAGTGCCCTCACACATGTTTTTGTTTTGGTGGATAATCTCAACGTTAAATATGTCTTCTTCATTTGTAGTTCCAGTTGCTTTACCTTTGGCTTCCCAACCACCACTTAGCTGCTCTCTGGACAATATCTTTCATTCAAATATATAGAAGTTCCCTTCCTTTTAGTCAATTTTGAGTAAAATGAGGTTTTAAGATCTCATTTGCTCATTTTGAGCTCTGTCATAATTTGTCCGTGTCTTTGCACTAAGCGTGAGCATCAGAATTGGCTACTGTGTCCCAGTAATGCTTGTAATAATGCTGCCTGGAAAGGTAACACCATTATCCTAAATCTTAGGTAGTATTATCCTAATTATACTTGAGAGACTTTGCTGAAGCACTGTTAGCTCTGTTAGCTCCCACATCAAAGTGCGACTTTCTTTGTCAATTGATCATGTGCCAAGAATCTTTTCCACCTTATCAGAATGGCCTGCTCCAAGAAATAGTCCCTTGGTGCCCTCTACAAGCAGGTCTTCACTTTTTTTGTCCTTGCTTTTAGCCGTTATAAAATGCTTAATGTTCAAATAAATGACCTGCATTGCTTTATAAAAGAGATCTATCTATCTCCTCCAAGTTTGTAACTTCTGCAGTCTTCCTATTTTCTTACGGGTCAATGATAGAATTTCTGCAAACACACTGGGAAGATTTCTGAAAAAATATCAGTAGTAATGAGTTACATTTTTAATAAATACTAGAAGTCTGACATTAGATCCATTTAATCACATAATATAATCTACAGTGGTTTTATCTGGTGCTGTTTTGTAATCAAAATATAGAAGGGAATAAATTAAGCAATTTATGAAAGTAGCTACCAGTGAAACAGATTTGTCAAAACAAAGCTAGCATAGAAATTGTTTAATTAGAATGAGTTTTTCTTTTGTCCTCTAATTTTGATTCTGTCTATTGTAAGCCTATTAGGATTTTGTCCAAGATGACAAAACTAAGGATATCATTGCTTTCTGGGTCATTTATACTTACCTTAAAATTTTATATAATGCTTGCTTTTCCCTAGCCTTCTAGAACTTTTATATTATTCAAAGTTCTTCTAAAACCCAGCATCGGTGGCTGAAAAAAAATGCCTTGGATGATATTTTAATATTCTTTGCATAATATGAATCAGTTTTGAAATACCAGATGTGAAAGTCCTACAGTTCTGCTTAGAATAACAGAATCCCATCGGTTGCAGGGGGCCTCCGGAGGTCTCCAGGTCCAGCTGTTTGCTCAGAGCAGATCAAGTTCGAGCAGGTTGCTCAGGACCTTCTCCAGTTGAGGTCTGAGGGTCTCTGAAGATGGATAACCTGCAGCCCCAGTGTTTGGCCTCCCTTATGGCAGAGCTGCTCCTTGTTTATGGCTTTCTGGGGTTTTTAGAGGGTCATCACAATGTTTTTTCATTATTTATTCATAATTTATTTACACTGTAATAAGTTTTTCTTGACACATAAATCATTAAGCCTGTGATTCCAAATGTGTTTAGCCAAATCTCTCCTCCTTGAGAGCCCAGATTCAAGGTTGCCCTACAGTGCAATCTTACTGATTCATATGGGACTGGTAAGCAAATTCAGAAACCATCATCACTTGGTGGTCCTGGAGTTTCAGGCTGGCAGCAGAGTTCCAGTAAGAGACTCTGCAAAACAGAGAGGATTATCCCTTCTTAAACTGCATAAGCTCCTGGGCCAACAGCACGGAGAAGTGAGAGTGGACCTAGCAAGGGAAGGAAGCAGCAGATGTCCTGCTAAGCAGGTTCTTTAACCATTCAGGTAAATCTCGATAAGGGATGTGAAAAGTTAAATTTCAGCGCTTTTACCAAGTATTTTTCATCTTTTTTTTCCTCTAGCATCTGGAAAATCTTAAGTGTATCTTCTTATCAGAACTTGTATATGTATAGTGCAGTGTACATTGTATAGGTTTTTCTTTTTACATTCTGTGTGGCATTTCAAAAATAAAATTTCCATGTCCATGTGCTGCGTATACAGCTCTGAACAACAAGGTAAGGTTGGCTCCAAGGTAATGTAACTGCTGCAGAACAAGGAGGAAGCACAGGTGGGTATCTGGGAGCAGCTGACAGTGCCAGAGCCTGCTACCATCCGTGGTTCTTCAGTCTTGATTCTCGTAAATGTAACACACACAAATTATGCCAGATTTTCAATTTGTCACCCTCACAGTTTCTGTATGTGCAACCTGTTTTAAGACTTCAGGCCTAACAGCATTGGAATCACTGCTATGTGCCAAATACACCTGGTCTTCCCAAGCTGCCCATTCCTCTTTAATCTGCTAGAAGGGCATCTTGGAACTTCTCTACTTCCCCATTTTTGTACATGAACATGGGAACATGCTCCATTTTAGTATGAGGTATTAATACTGTTGAAGAGAGTATATGAGTAGATTTTCTTTACAAGAATTTGTTATTGTGACATGAACTAATTCCTGAAAGGCCTGAAATGTCCTTTTCTTTCGTCAATAACATTTTACTAGGGAAATGCCGTATTTGCTAACTCTGTTTTGCACTGAAAGTGGAACATATGTTTTCTTAAAAATGTATGTAGCTTCTAAATAGATGATTTCTGGAGTAGTATATATTCTACTAGTTCCTATGCCATTAAATATATTATTGTCATCAGAGAAATATATTGTTCTCATCACCCACCCACCCTCGTTTTTCCACCAGTCTTGAGGAAACATTATCAGGTGCTATTTCCTAAAGGTTTGTATATCATTGAGCTGTTTCACTGAGTGTGAAGGAGAGGAGAGGGTCATCTATTAACTCTTTGCCAAATGCTGATTGTACCTGAAGAATATGAACTCTATTCTAGCTGGGGCTTGTCACCTGATGGACTGTTGTTAAACCCTGAAGAGTGTAAATGCTACAGTGAGTGTCTCCCACAACTTTTCTCAAATGGCATTTCTTTTTTTCTTGTTTTTTTTTTTTTTTTAATACTTTAGTCCCAAGTGCTGTACCACTTGAGTCCATTCAAGGCAGTACCTTTGAAGAGAAGATTTTTCTTCAGTGGAGAGAGCCAGCGCAAACATATGGTGTGATTACTTTGTATGAGGTATCAAGTATTTTGTCCTGTTTTCGTTTTCGTATATAACTTTGATTTTTAAAAACACATAATCTGTACAGAAATATTTTTAAAGGATTTTTTGTCTGTTTCTGGAAAATGAAAGTTTTTTTCTGACAATAAAACTACTTATAAAGCCATAAAAAATACCTAATGTAAGAGCAAATTCCTGCAAGAATGAGAATGTTCCTGGATTATCAGCTTTAAGTGTTCCAGAATTTAGAGAATGTTACAGATTATCAGCTGTTATTAGATCCATATGATACAGCATGCTGTGTAGTAATGTAGATCAAATATTTAAAGACTGAAAGGCAGATCTTAGTGAATTCTTAAAAATTAGAAGACATAACACAGTAGTGACAGTCAACATCACATTTCTGAGAGACTCATTACTGCCAACCTATTGTAATAGGAACAAGCAGGCACAATTTAAAAAAAAATAATAATCTGGCATTTTTAAATGCAAATTCAATAAAATTATATGTTGTTACATGTCTAAAATTCACTGCTTTTCCTCATATGGAACCTCAGCCTGAATACCTCTTAGAAAAATTGACAAAAGGCTGCGCAGATTAAGCTGTCAGACAGTAATCACAGTTAAACCTCTTACCTGACCTCACTACAAAACTGGCATTGAAATGCTTTGTTTAAAAAGAAACACCTAAATGAGATGTAGTATAAGAGAAAACTTAAGTTGAATGGTACCCTATTGATACTGTTTTGCAAACTACTTCGTTGTGAGAGGATAATACATTATGAAACCTATGAACTGGTTTTGATAAAGCTAACTTTCCCAACTAGTTCAGAAAGCTGTGAATCTTAAGGGAAATGAAAAGCTTTCAATGGTTCCTTCTCCCCTCCCATTGCCTTGGGGCACCGTCAGGGATGAAGGAGCCACAGGGCAGAAGGACAGTAGGGACAAGAGTCCCATGTGCTTTTGTCTGGCCAAAAAACCTGTTGAAGACTCTCAGGTGGGGCAGGACACACACTGCAGGAGCTGAGCCAGACCTAGGAGCAGGGTCGCTCCTTCCTGGGTAAGTTCTTCCGTGCGCAGCCTCTTCTGCAAGAGGCAGCCTCAGACCACAGCAGCACCCGCTCTCCCTCCGAGGGCCCCGGGCTCTTGGTGCTGTTAGACAGATGTGCTGAATGGGCAGTCCTGCATCTGCATCCCTGCTCCCAGGGGGAAAGCCAATCACACCTTCATGTCTAGCATTTCTTATTCTGATGCACGTAACTCTCTGTTATTGCAAGTCTTGTAACTTAGTGCTTTCTGGGGCCCGGCACTTATTTCTAATGCCTGGAGTAGACAGTCTCTTTAATATATCTGGTGGGAAAAAACTGTGCCTTAAAATATCAAACATTAAAGTATTCCTTACTATTGCGAAATTAAGTACAAATCCAATTATTTTACCAATATTTGAAATAGAAAAAAAAAGCTTTTAGATGAAGAAATGACATAAATTTCTTAAACCATTTTGCTCCTTTATCAGCAGTACAGGCTAGCAGGTAGTAGGAATGAAGGGATTAGTCTTTTGTATTAGGTTTCATCTAAATTTGATAAAAATTGTGAACAGCCAAGTGAAAACATGACCCTCATGCCCTTCTATTTCATCCCTGCAAATCTGAACCGGTAGGGTGGAAGTGACAGATTAGTCTTTCAAAAAAAAAGGAACAGTCTTAAAAACAGCAGTAAAATACAGAAACAAGGCAAGCTCATTTTAACCAGTCAAAACAGTGAATTCTTCTTGTGGCTTGCCTGGCTCATGGAGGAATTTACTGTGTTACAGAACATTAGCCACTTAGCTATCTAGCATTCAAAAGTAAAAATTATCAATAATCTAACACAGGCTGAAGAATTTCAGGCATCCTGGTTTCCTTTCAAATAAAATTTACCTGAGATTCTGGGAAATGCAGTTAAGAATTACAGAAATGGAGGAACACAAGTTAAAAGGAGCTTCAAGAGTTCATTTAGCTCCAAAATGGGATCAGCCATGTATAAAACATAGGTGCCACGTGGTTGTCTAATCTGTCTTTTAAAATCACCAAAAATGTACATGGCCCTTCTCCTGCAGACAGACGTAACAACACTCTCCATCAGAGAGGAGATTTTTCAGAATATATAGCCTTAATTTCAACTTCAGCTACTTGGTGGCACCTTGTTCTTCTTCTGTTATAATTTGGAAGGTTCTTTGGAGGTTTTGAGACACTTTCAGCTCAATTTATGGATGAGGAATTATAGAGGATCTCCTGTATCTAACAGAAGAGTATCCGAGTTTACCTAGGCTGTATCATTTTTTATTACTCTTTTTCAGCATTTTATAGGTGTTATATTAAATGAGTCATGTAAAATCAATTTTCATTAAGTCAGAGGCTTTAGGAAATTGCAAGTGTTTAAGGTATACAATGCCAAGACTTAGAAATTTCTGTTAAAATGTTATTTTATATGTCTTCTTAATTATAATAATATAGCATAAATGTAATAAAAGACTGTCAATTATCACTTTATATATTAATGCTGGAATTATACATACTTGAATACAAGCAAAACTATGTAAAAGTAAAAAGGAGGGCTGAATCACTTTTATTTTTTAAGTTTTTAGTGGATTTCATATCTTAAAATTCTCATTACAGTGCATGGAGACTAGTAACTAAAAGAAAAAAGTCTGTATAGAGGCTTACTGTAAATTCATGTTAACATTACTAATGAAAACAAATAAGACTGAATCAGAGAAGGAACAGAGGATTTTATATATATAAAATATATAGCATATATTACTTAAATTCCCCCTTTACCTTTAAATGAGGACCTAACAAAGGTAGAATTTAATAACCTAAAAATTTCCAATTTAGCAATTACAGTGTTTAAGCTTTAGACTTAGACAAGCTTTACCCAGTTTCTGAAGAATTCACCTTAAGCTGCCCTTATCATCTACTTGGGATAATCCTATTCAGAGCAAAGTGTAATTTTAGTCCAGTCAGCTGGAACTGGGGCCACCCATTTTCGTATTTACTTACCTGTTTTTACCTGGTTGTTTTGATGTTGTTCTTGTTGCTGCTCAAAGCCAAAAGTAAGATGGATTCAAAAAATGACATTGTGAAAGCCGGCATCTTAAAGGAATTAATGTAAGCCTGAACTCATTCTTTACAGTTGTAATCTAGCTGCCTCTAAGTCTCCAAAAGCCTCTATCTATAAAAGTAATAACTTATACCAGTTGTGGCTGAGTTTCTGTGTCCCTTTATGGGATTCAGGATTTGAAGAGTATAAGAGAGTAAGATAGCTTATCATAAAATGTCTGACAGCGCATACATCAGAAGGGTTTGCTGGATAAAGATGCAATCTTCGTCCATCTGCTCAAGACAAGCTTATAACTTTCTTATTCTTTTGCAGATCACCTACAAAGCAGTCAGCTCCTTTGACCCAGAAATAGATTTATCCAATCAAAGTGGCCGCGTCTCCAAGCTAGGCAATGAAACACACTATCTCTTCTTTGGACTATACCCCGGCACTACCTACTCTTTTACCATCAGAGCCAGCACAGCTAAAGGCTTTGGGCCTCCAATCACAAATCAGTTCACCACTAAAATATCAGGTATTTGACTAAAGAATATTAGTGTTTGTTTATGATAATGTCACAGGTAATTCTCTTGTTGTTTACTACTGCTTCTAGCATTTTACAAGCAGCAATTTGAAAAGTATTAGTAAGTGTTCACACCTGAAGATATCCAAGGGACATACACTAACATCTTTGAAAAACTTTCAAACTGGAGCACTTTCAAGTGCTCCAGTATTAGCTCAACCATAAGTACTTTGAAATTCCTAACTTACCGTGCAAGAAGCCCCGTGAATTATGTGCCTGGAGTCAGTGCCAGCTGCTTTTGCAACATTTAGCGTAGGGTTCTTTTGGACATGAGGATGAGGGCTCCATTCAGAGCTTATTCAGCCTTGACATGATTCTAAATTAGTACAGTAACGGTGCTGGAAAATCTCTCTAATGAGCCATGAAGAATTGAGAGTAGAGCAGAGCAGGAATACCATACATCGAGGGCTTGCTTAGGAAGTGCAGCTGACTGCCAGCCTGCGTACGCTCCTAGTAGGCCCGTGGACTGATGTGGCTACGAAACTGTATCAGACAAGAATTCTGTTCTGTGAACTTCTGCCGTCCTTCATTCCTTGTCCTCAATGCGTAATGAAGAAAAAAAATTAACAAAGAAGCGCTACTCAGATACAGAGCAATTAATTTTTGTTATAAGAAAGGCCAATTAATGCAAGGTGGAAATTACTGTTAATACAGGTGATTGCAGAGAAAAAAAAACAGTTGATATGTTAGAAGTTATTCATAATGAAAAGCAAAAACAAAATTAACATTATTCAGTAAATACAGGGTTCATTTTCCATCCCTTCTCCCACAGTGCACGGAACCTTCCTCTTCCAGAAGTCAACTTCTGACGTAGCAAGAGTTTGATATGAGTCAGGATGGCAGAATCAGGCCTTATTAGAATAAAAAAGAAAGGAGACTTGAGAGTGGGAAGAATCTGGTCTTTTGGGAATCATGCTGGAGCTTAAATTGTTGTTCTTTCCTAAATTTGGCTTGTCACCAACTAGAAGTCATCAGTGTGCGTGGGCATTACAGGTGCACTTGGAGACAAGAATGAGCTCCCTGCCAAGGACACAGTGGGGCTCAGCAAACAGGCTTGTCTGAGCCCTGCCGTCTTCTTCCTTCGTAGTGACTACTGCAAGAACAGCAAATGCTTAAGGCTTGCCCTGGGTACCTAAAGCCTAATTCTTGATGAAATAAAAACAGAAGCAGCATCCATACGTTTCTTATGATTATCAAAAAACCCTGGCAAAATTTTAGGTGTCAAAATATGTTGCCATCCTCTGCATGCAGTAGTAATGCCCATGCCCTGCTGTGAAGCTTTGAAATTGCTGAGGTGGCCTGGCTCTCCATGCCAACATGGAGAACATTTATGGATGAAAGATTTCCCGGTTCTTCCAGAACTGGTGATGTGGCCACCGTGCGTTCTGGCCAGTTTCCAGCTTGAGCTGTTGCATTTTAAGTTGTCTGAATCTAGACTGCGCTTCCGTTGTTTGGATAGAATGCTCCTGGTTTGCTGTGTGGAGGTGTCGAGTGGCCCTGGCCTCTCCCTTATGCCGCTGCCGGGGCTCGTTCCACGGTCGTGAGGCTGCCCCTGCTGGCTGAGGTGGCCCCTCTGTAAACGAGTGGGACTGAAAGCAGGGCTGGTGGCAGGGCCTGCCAGCAGAATTGATGGGCCGCTGCTTTCTCTTGCCTGGAACTTTGTAGAAAGTCATCTGTGCAGGCTGAAATTTTAACACGCTGCCTCTGCTACCCACAAGGTCCTCCACATGGGGAAACTTGCAAGAATTGAGCAGCTGGTGTCACCAGAGAGGCCGTCTCCCCGAATAGCCTCAAGGCCTCAGAGCTTCCAGCCCTGTGCGGGAGGGCGTTAGCCCGTTCGAGCCCTGCTGGCTCCCAAGGGCCTCTCTTTAAGCGAGTCTGAGCTTCGCACTGCTCGTCACCAGGTTGTGGCTCACAGACTCACAGAGTAGTTGAGGTTGGAAGGGACCTCTAGAGATCAACTAGTCCAACCCTCCTGCTCCAGCAGGGACACCCAGAGCACGGGGCACAGGGTGGCATCCAGGTGGGTTTGGAAGATCTCCAGAGAAGGAGACTCCACAGCCTCTCTGGGCAGCCTGTTCCAGGGCTCTGTCACCCTCACAGGAAAGAAGTTCTTCCTCACATGGAGATGGAACTTCCTGGGCTTTAATTTATATCCATAAATTAATTGTGATTCAGAGCTCACATAGCTTTTTGACATTGCAGTTACTCGGTACCTCCCTCCTTTTGTGGATGTTCAAAAAGAAACTCGGCCGCTGTTTTAACAAGTCCCGAATATTCAAAACTGCAGCCAAAATCAATGAAAGCTGTCTCTGATTCTTCAAAGTTCTCTGGAATGTTGTGCCTTTAGGTGCCTTGAAGTGGGTACGCAAATTATTTTAAAAGATCTCTCTGAACGTTCACGCCTTACATCCAATACTGTGAACAGAGGATAAGGATACTCTCTCGGCTCACAAGGAGGTTTCTGAAGATTAAATTTTATTTGTGAATCATCCCAGAATTGTTAAATACCAATGAAAAGTGATGAAGATATTATTAATTTTTCACAGCTGACTATGAAGTGTTATGGTCAAAAGTGTTAATGCAATCCTTAGATGAGTAAATAAGAGGGATAAAGGACAAAGAAAGATGTTTATACACCTTTCAAACAGGCTCAGCTGTTACTGGAAGATTGAAAAGAAAGGAAAATAAATATATCTTAAAAGAGAGACTCAAGTTGTTGGAGCTATTTAATTTACTAGAGAAACTTAAGGGTTGACTCTATATGTGAAGCAAAAGTATGGTCAAAGTGATTCCTGTTTGATTTTATAACCTCTAAATCCATTAAATGTGTATCATCATTAACAACTGTACAATAAGGATCCAACAGTCCATTAAACCACCATTAAACCATTAAACCATGTACTGGGCACCTTTCCATCCAATATAATAAGTAACGTAACAATATGATAGCAGTGAATGAAGTACCAAGAGTGAAAGTCAGCGTCTATCTGAGGCGTTGTTTCTTTTGGGCACAACTGTAATTCCATGTTAGAAAGACCCAGTTTGCCAAAGTGCTGTTGAACGTGTTTTCAAACGAAGATGCATCATGTGTCATATTCACGTGTCATTTTCAGGTGCTCCCCTTGTGGTAAGTCCTGACTTACCTGTCAAGTCCTGGGCTCATTCGGAGGGCTTCCTCCTGCCAGGGTCTCATGGATATCTTAAAATTGGGGATGAATTGATGTTTCTTTGTTTTTCTGATGATGCTATTTAAAGGCTGTCTGACACTGCCATTGCAACTGAAGGCATGCTAGACTAACGATGTGATCTTTATTTTTGCAAAAGTCTTTAAAAATACCTATTCAAGGAAGGACATGGATCTTGAAAGAACAAATACAGACACAATGATTTTTTTTTCCTCTTTTCTTCTTCTAGCCCCCTCTATGCCTCCATATGAACTTGAAACACCTTTGAATCAAACTGACAGCACTGTGACAGTCTTGCTGAAACCTGCACAGAGCAGAGGCGCTCCTGTCAGGTACTGGGAAGGTGGTGGGGGGAGGCAAAATCTTTATAAAGTTAAAGCCAACTGATTAATTTCTTGAACATGTTTTCTGGGGATTTTCTACACAGCAGTCAGTGTCTAAATTCATGTCTGTATTAGCTCTAATTAAATTAAATAATGGCAGAAAATGGAAGGGCTTTGATGTTGAGTGCTCGGGTATTGTTTAAAGGATTTGATCCAGATGCAAGTGGCTTGTTCTTTGAAGATAAGGAACAAAGCCATGGCTCTGTTGTGTGGGTGCCTTCTTTAAGGTAATTGCTTACTTCAGTATTACAGGTTCAAGAGCATATCACATTTTGTATCCTGAGCTCCTGTGTCTTTAATAGTCACTCTTGTTTACTGCACAGATTTAGGATAATCAGTTTTTACCAAGTAAGTTAGCCATTTTTTAAAAAATATGGACTGTAACATTAGTCAAGTGTTTGCATTTAATCAAACAGGGAAATAGCAGGGAAAATGAAAAACCAATCACTTACTTTGATTCTCTGGTGTTATGTAATATCCACTGATGAATTTCCAGTTTACAGTGGTTTACTCCGCAGACTGCTACACAACACAATGCAAGCCTCGTGCTGATTAGAAAAGAGAAGCCAGTTTTTCAGACAGGAAAACAGACCCATGGCTAGACTGAATGAGAAGCGCTAATGAGCTCAATAGTCCTGATAGATGAACATGCCTGTTTGTTAGAGAAATGCAGATTTTCCATAAGTTTAGGTTTTGTGGGGATTTCTTGAGAAATCAGGTAGACTCGGTAGTGCTTAATCCTTTTGTTACTTTGAAGAACAGTTTATGTCTATGGCAAACTGCTATTGGCAGTTTCCGTTCTGAGTGACCTGTTTGGTAATTTCTGTTGATTCGAGACATAGGGATTTGGTATATTCATATATAAGCCAATGAAATGTTCTTTTGGTTTATTTGGAATATTCAGTATCTAATAGAATTAGTGTCTAATAGAATTAGTGTCTGTTCTATGCAACATATTGTTACATTGATATCTGGGTATGTGTGTATATATATAAACATATACATATATAAACAACTCGATAAATAACATACACATTTGACTTTAAGCAATTACATTCATTACATTCATGGTTATTCAGGCAACTTTTTTTAAAACAAAATGGGACATGCTGGGGAAGTCTGAACCATCTGAGAAAAAAACAGAAAGCAATCACGTTTAATGAAACTGATTTAGCAGATTAGATTAGAAACAGAATGGGTTTATTAAATGATTTGAGTTTTGTCTTTACTACCTAAACCCGTAGTGCAATCCTTCTGAATTCAAGCTTTTGGATTAAAATAGCACTAGTTGGAGTCATTATTGCATAAACACAAACATGTTAGACCATAAATAAGAAAACAGTTTCATTCCTTTTATCTCCCTCGTGAACTAAAGATGATTGACTCCTATAGCAGTAGTGAGACATCAGAAACTTTGGTGACAACAGCAAGGAGCGAGATTGGAGATCAGAGTATGTCAAATAAGGGGATAAGCACTTAGAAAAATAGGAGGAGGGATTTAAATAAACATCAAGCTCTAGAACTGACAGAAACAGATAAGCACATTACAAAAAATTTACCAAGATCTTTTGCAACAGGTCTTAAAATAAAATGCATGCTAGTTGCAAACTCACAATATAGATGGAATGAAGCAGAGAGTGAAAATTAAAGATTCTTGATACTTTTAACATTTGATTGTGCATTATGTTTTCAAGCATTTGTCCTTGTGTAGCTTGCAGAACGCATGCTGCATACGGCTTTAATCTTAATTTATATTTATGGGGTGCTGAAAGTTTAGTCCTACTTCACTTAATGCACTCCACTAAGAAAGATGCCTGTCTATTGATCCTGCTACAACCACCAGCCTGGTTAATGCAGATTTCTGAACTCGCACTAAACTTGCAGTGTAAATGACTGTTGTTGTTTTATTGATCAACACGTCAGCCATGTTGCATAAAATTCTCCAACTCCTGAAATGGATAAATAGGGCACAAGTTCTACCAGTCAAGCCAATAAAGGTAATACCCAAAGATACCCAATTCAGAAATATCCAATTCAGAAATCCTGCATTTTTTTCCACATTTTTTTCTCTCTTCACATACATAGGAAAAAGAAAAAAAAAAAAAGGAAATGTCCTGGTGTCTGATACCTTATTTAAAATTCCCTCTCGATAACCCCAGCAGAGAAAGGGAGATGTAGATTGTTTAAATGTGGCTTCAGAAAGTACACGGTATGGAAATGCTCTGTTCACAGTGACAAAGTGCACGTTAATCCTGAAGGTCAAATGGCATTCCAGGTTGTTTTAGAATTCATAAAACTGGACATGATTAAACTGTGTTTTGTCAGAGTTTTAATACAACAAATACTGCTTGCTTTTGTCTTCAATTTCAGGTCTAGCATGTCATTTGGCTGCTGCTATATTTATTTCAAGGAGATTATCTTGGAATTATATATGTTTAAAGCAGTAATGCATTCAGCAACAATGAATTTATTTGCTTATTTAACTGTTGGCCAAGCTATTATGATTTTCTATTTTGCATTTGAAATGATGGCTATGTGGAAATTGTGGAATGTATTTGTGGTGAGTGGATATGGACTTTTTTTTCTTCAGATATATTTAAAAGTTAGTATAGTTTTTAAAAAGTCATATAAAAATACAATTGTAAGTATTTCTCATATAAGAGCTATTCAGCATTTATGGAGGGCCTCAGTTTTCTAAGGCAATTTAATTTCCACCTTGTACTTCTCCAAAGGGAGTTGGCCTAAAGTTTAAAAGACCCTAGGGCCCGATTACCTGGGGTTACATAGACTGCTGCAGTTCCGTTTGCTTCAGCTGAGGAATCTTAATTTATTTGAAAGATCTGACTCATACACGGGAATGAAAAGTGTAATGCTCAGTGATTGCATGTATTTATTTTGTGTTACTCATTTACATCAGTAAGAGCTGGTGATTTTCTACCCCCTTCCATTATAAAAGGTTTTTGTGACCTTTGCTGAAAAAGTTCTGTGTTTTGCTGCGAGCTTTTAACTTCCACAGGGAGAAGCCAAATCTCTTTTTCTGATAAACTCTCATTCGGGTTAGCCATAAGAGAGGTTGAGCGTTGCCACGTCCTTATCTCACTTGTGTAATCAGCAAAACGCTGTGACCGTACCCGCTTCCTCCTGCTCTTCTGTGCCACATCCTGAGCAAGCCCCAGGTAAGAACATCCCAGATAACAGCAGGAGCACCTGGCCACAGGCAGCCCTTGGAGGAAAGGAGGCAAAAGGAGAAGAAACAAGCCAAGACCATCCAGACTCAGCTCTGCCTGCCTGGTCGTTGGGCAGGAGAGGGCCTTTCCCAAGCGCAGCTGGCTCTGTTGGACAGGCTGCTCCCAGATGCACTGCTTGGCATCAGGTCCTCAACTGCCCCTGCAGGATTCCAGGGTAGTTCCCAGAGTCACTCCTGCAACTCCTGGAGCAGCAGCCTGTGCCACAGTGCTGAAAAGCCCAGGGACGTGGGCAGGGAGAGAGAGGTACAGTCACAACTCCAAGCAGCAAAATTTAAATTTAAACTTAAAAACTTTAAAAAAAAATGCCCATGCAAAGGAAAGCACACCCAGATACCCTACAAATCACTGGAGCTGCAATCCACCGCAGAAATGGCAGGGAGCTGGCGTGAACGCAGTGCGTGCTGTGCTCCTGAGGCACCCCCTTTATCATCAGTTTGCCTCCAGTTTGCAACACGCAGAACGGGTACCCTAAAAAGAGAACAACTCTACTGGGGAAATAAATCTGACATTTCTTTACCTGCAGTGCTTGATTTTGAAACACAACTTACTTCTAATATCTCTTCCATAGAGAAGCAAGGTATACTATATTTCAGTCCCCAAAACCATGTTCGTTTTTTAGATACTTTGAAGCAGAACTGAAGAGTACTACAGAATTTCAAAACTGTGTATTCTGTAGGGCAGTCTACTCCTTTCTACAACTCCATCTGGTAATAACTTCAGAATGTGCTCAGACAGTCTAAATTCTGGAGAGAATTGCTTTTTTGGCCTAATCCAGACCTTTGAAGACCTGTGGTAAATGCGAGGTTCGTGGAAAGCAGTGGCAGATACTGTCATTAGAACGCAGAATGCAGGAGGGCTTCAAGCACTCAGAATGCAAAAGTTTCAGAATATTTTTCACGACCTCTTTAAAGAGAGCATGGGACGCTGTCTTTGCCATTGCAAGTACATGCCAGGCTAAGGACTGGGCCTAAAAGTTGAAAGCCACTTCTCAGAGAAGAGGCAATACAGACATCTCAATCTAAGTTTATGTAATGCATGGTAAAAAAGCATGATGAATTTCCTGCATGAATTAAGGAGGCAGAATCATGAGTATGATTATAAATTTAGGATAAGTGAGCAAATGAGTTCTGAAATGTGGGGAAACTGATTTGCACAACAAGAGTCATCTTTGCTTTCTGTGTGGGCAAAAACACGGCAACAGCACATGCAAATAAAAGCATTACAGTATCTGTATTTTTAGCTCTGAGCTCTTATAATTCCTGCCTAGCGCACTGTGTAATTCTAGCATGTTACTGTAAATTCTTTCTATTGCCAGTGACATTACATGGGTAGTAAGGCAGTAACGAGAAAAAAAGAAAATCTCATGTAGACATAACCAAGGAGAGAACTATCAAAAAGGTATATGAGAAGGGAGAAATTTGAAAAGCTTCTTAAAAAATGGCAAGTCAACTTTCTGCTTTTCAAGAGCTCTAATAAAATGGTCCAGATGTTTGGTGGATTTGTGATAAAGAAATGGTAATGTTGAAATAATGTTACTATGCCTTTTAAAATGGCATTACTAACTTCAGAACTGTCAGGTTTAAATTCAGCCTTTTGAAATACTGTGAGACCACAAGGCCTAAATAGCATGAAGGCCACTTGCATTCCGCACATTTTATTTGCTTGTCACAAGGATACAGTACTTTAGGTTGTATAAGGGTC